ATCCCCCCTCCAAATATAAGCCACCCCCCTTCCCCCCCTCCCCCCCCCGATGCATTAACATGGACATGTCAAGCTGTTGCCCCCATGGTGTTGAGATGATATTATTACTAGTAGACAATTGCATCAACCTACCTTGCACAAATATGGTGATATACATGTATGCCATAAGTTGAATGACTTTAACTACTTCAACAGCATCAGATTTACTGAGAACTCCTCTTGACGAAGTGATTGAGGTAGCCCCTACAGAAGGTAAGATTTTTTTATTAATCTCAGCTCAGCCTGCGTACCCTTGAGGTACCACAAATCAAAGAGTCTCAGATTAGATATAATATATATAGATATAATAATAATAATATAACATTTTTGTATTGAATTAGAGTACTACTGTCAAATTCAGAAAACATGCCCCTCCATGTATAAGCCCCCCAAACTGATAATGCAACAAACCCTCTGTTAAATCGCCCCTTAAAATATAAGCCACCCCCATACCCCCACCCCCCACCCCCCCACAACGCATTAACATGGACATGTAAAACTGTTTTCCCCATGGTGTTGAGAAGATATTATTACTGGTTGACACATTGCATCAACCTACCTTGCACAAATATATATGGTGATATACATGTATGCTATAAGTTAAATGACTTTAACTTAACTTCAACAGAATCAGATTTTTTAAGAAGTCCTCTTGATGAAGTGATTGAGGTAGCCCCTCCACAAGGTAAATTGTTTTTTATCAATCTCAGCTAAGCCTGCTTACCCTTGAGGTACCACTAATCAAAGAGTCTCTGACTAAATATAATAATGTAATAATTAACATTTTTGTATTGAATTTAAGTACTACCATAAAATTCCAAAAAATAACAGCCCCTCCATGTATAAGCCCCCCAAACTAATAAAGCAAAAAAGCATCTGTTAAATCGCCCCTCTAAATATAAGTCCACTTGATGAAGTTATTGAATTAGGCAATCCATTAGGTACATTTTTTAATCCTGAGTCTCAACTAATACTGTCTGCCGGTAACCAGGGATTTTCCACACTATATATATATATAGCATATGAACTACTCACCTGGGAAATGAAGGGATACAACCAATAGATGTTTCATCTACCTTCTCAATACCCTACCTGTTAATTGTGTGTATGGTGTAATGTCACTCAGCAGTGCGAGATGGAACAGCAACAGTAACAACAGCAACAGCAACAGCTGCAGCAAATTGTACAGCAGGTATGTGATACAGTCTGAACATTATTATAAACATCACCAGGGTTCCTCCAGACTTTTGGATGGCCATAAAATTCAAGACCTTTTCCAGACTTTTTTCAAAACTTACAATAATTTATTTTTTGTAAACTTGAGGTTATCGAACAGATGATCATTAAATGGAGACCTTTTTAAAATGCAGAAAAAAAGATAGTCGTGGTGCACTGCAAACATAAGGGCAGAATTGAATAAAATCTCTTCTAAAACATTTGTCTTGTTGTTCTCAAGACTTTTTTTACCATTTTCCCATGCAGACATAAATACATTTTCAAGACTTTTTCCAGGTCTGGACAATTGCTGGGCAAATTTCAAGACTTTTTCAATAATTCAGGACTCTGTACGAACCCTCTGATGAGATGATCCAATGAAATTGGCTACTGCAAGAAAATAATTGGCCCATTTGTACCAAAAGGTCTTGTGACATTTTTTAATGAAAATGAAAGTTAATTTGCCTTCAAAAAACCATTAGTGGGTCACATCTTAAACAAAATCATAGTGATTGGTTTTTCAAACCCATCATTTTCTTAAAATGAATAAGTTCATGGCTGGTCACGTGTCAAGCAATTAACATTTAACAAGATACAAGCTAAAAGTAGTTTTTGGCCACCATGTCATCCCCTATGGTGGCCAATACAAATTATACTGTTTTGTTGAAAAATCAACATGCCTTAAAATATCTCAGTTGTATGCATTTCCTCTCCAATTTCAGGTGTAAGATAATTTTTATGTGCTCTATCAATTTTTAGCATCAGCAAGATTCCAACTCATTGTTTAAAGAAACGATTGGTCACATGACCTCTTAGTACGAATTGTAGTGGCCTGTTAGATCACAATCACAACAGAAGTAGGATGAAGACTTTGATATGTACAACTGTAAACGTGTAGTCAACAACTACAAGACACCACACCACCATTGTAGAATTCTAAATCCTATACTAAGGACGCTATCTATTAAAGCTCGAATAAGTACCTGCCCCCTCACTCATGTATTTTTATTAAGTTCTCGTGGATTAATTTTTTTTGCTGTGAAAGCTAGGCACTGGATATTTTAGTGCCATGAACTGTTATCAGCTAATTTAATGTCAAAATAAAATCTTGTTAAGATTTAAAAAAAGCTTCATTTCTCTTCATCACCCCATTAACCTAAGAAGGCATTAAACACCATTGTATTAGAAACAGGGTAACAGGGTTGGTAAAAATCAAGTTTTGTATATAAACCCTCCCTTGATATGTAAACCTTATCAATAGGACTTTCCTTATTTAAGAATGTAACTGCTGCTCTCTTTAGGTATCTCTGGTACACCTTTCTATGGTGAAGGCACCAAAGGTAAAATAATATTACTATTTATCACAAAATGAACATCTAGTGCAATTGTTATGTTTTGATATTTTCTTGGCACAGGTAAAACACCAATTCTGTCTTTGTTTGACAATAACTATCATGCATTAATGTATCCATATAGTTACTTTAAAACTTCACCAATACATAAGGTCTTCAAAGAAATTTTATCAGGACTTGCAATGTAGAGGATACTACATGGCCATGCAGAAAAAAAAAATAATAATAATAATAATAATAATAAATAGAATAATATGAGTGAGCGCAGCAATCTAGTGAAATATTTCTTCAACAAGAGAAGAGAAATTCCGTTTCTCCAAGGGGCCATGTAATGTCCTCTTTTTTATATCAAAACACCAGTGATAAACCAAACAAAAACGCTTAACAGTCTTTTGCCTCGAAAGGCGTCAATTTTTATGTTGCCATAGCAATGGTGATATCAATTCACATGAGAAGTTTTTTCATGTTTTCTCACCTGGTATTTTTAATTGGTGCTTATATAATAAAAATGAAATAAGGACATGGTTAGTTAGACACCCATCATCCAAAACATGCTGATGTGTATAACGTCAGTTACATTAGAAGTTTATTGATCAGGGTAAACGTGAGTATATATAATACACCTAGTGGTAATTATCAAACTAGCATTGCTTGCAAAACAAGAAAAAAGTAAATGACTGCCATGCAGTTAATGAGATTTTTACCATTTTTATCAAATTCTGTTTCATTATTTTTTTAATTAGTGGGCACAGTAGTTGAAGACCATTCCCCACATGGCCTGGGAGGTAAGTCAAATTATTACCATATTATTACCAGAAAAATTTCAACCTACATTCTTAAAAGTAAAAATATTTTGAGGAAACAAATAAAATATATCTTCAAGGTTTCAGCTGTACACATGGGCCCAAATATAATTATTATTCATTCAAAATAACCAGTTTCTGATTGGTTAAAACCACACACATAACATAAATTCACCATAACCAGCTACTGTGGACCAAATTTGGCAAGAATTTTGTCATATTGAAACAATGTTCTCAAATGATCTCAAAAGTGTAGCCAGGTTGCAGATTATTTAACTGTTGTCCAAAAAAACCTGAGGACAAGGTTCATTTGTTTAGGTCGTGAGAAACAAATGACCTAACAGTCGATTGCTGAACAGTCGGCGGAACATTTTAACCATTTTATGGCGAAATAAAGACATCTGCCATTTAGAGTACCAGTATATCTGCAAACTTGGAATTTTTTTTGGAATGAATAATATTATTGAATTTGGCCTTCATAGTAAAATGAAGAATTCTGCAGATCTCGGAGGGTGTTATCGGACAAGGTGGATAACACCCTCCGAGATCTGCATATGTGGATTCTATTCATAGTGCTCCTAGGTAATACTTAATGTCCAAAGGAAAATTTTCTTTTGCAGAGAAAACCAACGTGACCTCCAGAACCATTGAGTTGGTACGCTGTGAACAGCGTTTATTGGACGCCTGCCAAGGAGAGGACACCTCCATGCCATGCTTTCTTGTTCACTCATTTGAAGAGGTAATTCATAACTACAACAAAACCCCATTTACACACACTAAAAAAATCGGCACGGCATGCCAAATTTTTGGCAGTGTGCCTCATTTACCCGTGCCGAGACAACCTCCAGGAGGTAGTCTCGGCACCCCTAAATTTTTGAGCACTGTTGCCACATTACATTTGAGACCGATACGTTTACACGTCAAAAATTGGGAGTGCTGTGCCTTAAAAATCATCAGCACCGTGCCAAAAATTTGGCGTGCCGTGCCGATTTTTTTAGTGTGTGTAAATTGGGTTCAAGATATAGGTGGAGCATGTTTTAGCCTTGAAGCAAGTTATGAATCCAAGCTTTACGTGATAAAAATTCCAAACAGTAATGTTGTGGATGCTCAGGCCTGCATTGCTGAACTCACTGAGTTAGAAAGCATGACAGAAGACCAGGCGAAGAGTTTAATGAACTCCTGCCTCCCCAAGACCTGTATTTGAGACCCTCTTCCAGCATCAATACTGGAAGAGTGCATGGACATGAGATGATCAACATATCAATTGGAAACTGCTAATGTGCCGGTGCAACTTAAGGAAGCTATGATAAGGCCTAAGCTAAAGAAAGAGTCCCTTGACCATGAAGTGTATTCCAATTTTATACCCATCTCTAACTTAAAATTATGTTATGTCCAAGATGATAGAGATCACAGATGACGTCAAAATATGGTAAAACAAAGAAGTGTACACGAGCCGCAGATGATGTACAGACCCAGAGCAACCACGAATCTATTTGTTTTATATACTGTACACATACCTGCCTCGTACCGCTTCACTGTTCGAATTTGTGCTGGTTTAGGCCCAATCGCTACTTTTCGTCTCTGTTTCCTCTTTTTTCTTTATCTTACTTGTAAGCTTATACGGTTTTTTCGGAAATTTTTGGAACGTCTTTTATTGCTCAAAGCAGAATAATGGGAACAGCGAGTCTCTCGTAGCGACGACACACGATGGCAACTGTTGTGAAGATTTCTTGTAGTTTAGAGATTCTCAAGTTGTCATGAGCTCTTTCTGTCTCCGTTTCTCCATTTTTCTTCTTTGTAAATAGCTCCCGCTGGACTTTTTTTTCGAGGCATTAATCCGACAAAACCGCGCGCCACGTTGAAATTACCATGTACCCGTACTCTAATAGATCATACGCAACGACCAATCACAGCCCGTAGCATCGCATCATAATTATCGCGCATATATTATAGCGCGATTAAGTTTTTTATGTCATACCAAGATTAAGCAAATCACTCGTGACAGTTTCCACTCTATACTGCCCGAGAGCAACACCTAACTGGTATAGAGCGGTTTTCACTTGACTGTGGAAAGGGATTGGTTTTGGTTTTGGTTTTGGTTTTACTACGCCCTTTGGTTGGCTAGTGTATTTACTTTGGTTTTGGTTTTACGACAGTCAAGTGAAAACCGCTCTATGTATTTTACCATACTTAGCTTTGCTGGCAAGCACGGGAAAATGCCGTCCCAATAGTGGTAGTGACCCTCAACCCCCAGAAGCAAAACAATTCTGGCAGGAAGGAGATTCTGAGGTGAGCATGTACAAAGGAACAACACATCTAACATGAAATCTCAAATACTGTTCCCATTAGAAAGTACATTCAATTTTATAGAGTCAAGTAGAGGCTGTTTCCTTTTGGAACACAGCAGTGGCGGATCCAAACCTCCAGAAAAGGGGGGGGGGGGCAGGGCGGTCATTCGGACCATGACAAAAGTGAAAGGGGGGGGGGTTGGCCAACCACCCGGGCGCCCTCTCCAGGAACCGCCATTGCACAGTAGTAGTTCACTACATTCAAATGTACTTGAGCTATATCTTAAATAAAAGCTGATTATGTATACTCTCTCCTCGCTCTAGTAGTTTCTTCCTTTTAAGGAAGGGACAAAATGCTCACTATCATCTTTGACCATTAATCATATCCTCACTTGACAGGGGTCTCCGATACCTAATGGGACAAATGACAGGCTCTTTTTATTGGATGGCAGAGACATCCTCCATAGATGGCCGGAGAGGTAAACGATTTGAATTTGCATTATCGGTTATCAAAACTGATATTGAAAGTGCAATTGTCGGTGCAGACAGAATGAAAAGAAAGTCATGAAATAATTTTCCTACTCTTTCCTTAACTTTGTTCCAAAAAATGACCATTGGTCAAAGGTTATACTGAACTGCGAGACAGAGGAATCAGTCTAGTGAAACTAAGTAATAAAAAACATCCAGTAACTGTCAGATTTGTGCCTTACAGTTTGTACCATGTTTGGTGTGCGGTACATCGCCGACACACTGATGATATTGTCGCCATCATCAACTTCGGCCACACCCACCTTGATGAAGGAGTTCCAAGGTAGGTGAAATAATTAGCACCAAGACAATTAACTCTCGTATGGAATATGTATTCTTTCATTTGGATATTCAATATTTTCGTTTTTGGTTATCGCGTTCTTCAAAACGCATCCTAATCTGGTGTGCATGTGGCACTAAGGTAGAAATGTTCTAGCTATCACGGGCGACTGCAAATTAGCCGCCTCTATTAACTATATCAGGGGCACCTCGGCCGGGAAACTGGACTCCTTTCGACTCTATTTCGGATCCGTGATCTTTGCGTAAAATTTACGTTCGCAATTAAAATAGGGGCAATGAATGAAAGGTCGCACATAAGTTTAAACTAGAACCCGGCCAACTTCACGTTTAATCTCAACACTTTATATATTGCCTCAATTTCTTTCACGATAACGTGATAATAGCGTTAACGTACGTAGCCAAAAACGCGTCAGTGGAAATCAAACTTAAGTGAGGAACGCGTATCCTCTAGTTTAATACTAATCAGTAACCGTAACCCAGTACTAAGTAAACGTTCTGATTATTTGTGTTTTGTGGGGGTAATCACTAATAAATTGGTGTGTTTTTTGGCATGTAACTGTCAGTTTAAATACATGTACCCGGCTAAACTTTAATTTGTTCTCAAGACCAGGGAACACTGAAAAATTTAGAGTCACCCCAGCTGTTGGGCATAGTGTGTCGTTTAGCCTTTTTATTCAGAAAGGGAGGAAAAGTCAACCTTTTTTTATGTGTATTTTCAGACAGCAACATAGACACACAGAAGCTCCGGAAAGTGATCTGTGAAGCCATGGAAAAATGCCAGCAGTTATCTGCGGAGAGGTACGTTCCTTGTTTATTGAGACAAGATATCGCTAACAAAACAGGAAAGAAATCCCAATATTTCACTAAAGGCTAGATTTTTTTATTCCTAAAATCGGCGCTGAGCATGATGCTTTATCTAAAATATAATTTTAGCTATGGATAAAATGAATTATTTAACCACAAGAAATCCATGACTAGACACACGCCTTTGTCGCTTTCATTCCTCGAAAATGGTCCCATAAATAATTGACCTAAGGTGGTGGAAAGCAAAACCGTGTTCGTTAAAATGTTTATCAACGAAGGAAACGATTGAAAAATCTACATTTCTGGAATATTAATGAGTAACATTATAATAAATAAATAAATAAATCGACCTATCATGCCTAGTTGAGGCTGTGAAAAAAGCTAAAGAAGCTGGTGCTTTGTTGTCTCAACAGAGGTACGTTTTTTTTTCCGAAACAAAGATTTCCAAGCTGATAATAGAGCGGGACCAATGTGTTTCTTTGGAAGTAAGCGAGGGCATTATTCCACGCACACATGCAATACAGAAGGCTTCACATATGAACATAGTCTCACGCTCTGTCTGCTCCGATTCACTGGTAACAAAAAGAGAAGAAAAGAACTCGTGAGCTCTATTAATGGAAGATTGTTTACTATGCAGGGAAAAAATTTCCGAATGGAGAGCGCAAAGAATTGCGCAGGATGAAGAATTGCGAGAAGTTGGTACAAGTGGGGGTAGTGCAAATTCCAGCCAAAAAAAAGGGGAAGAAGGCAAGGGTGACGATGGCGAGCGAAAGATCATTGAAAAGGTAAAGATAAAGAATTCTGCAGAGTTCCTACAGCTTTCACTGAGTAAAAGGCAAATGATAGTTCAGTGTTTGTTGGTATGGGTTACGACGCTGATCTCGTCCAATAGCTGGTGACAAATGAGGTCTTTTGGCCCCTTTTATAAGAAGAAACGTGTTCCCGGGTAAGAGGGCCACCCTCCCAGCCGAGGCAACTTTGGCGAGCGTTTATATGAGAAATATATGTCGACCTCTTTACCCGAGCCGAGAGCTGCCTTCTCAGTTTTGCCAAGGACAACAGCGCTCGGGCGTGCTCTGATTGTCTCGCTTTGTCAGAGTTGTAACAACAGGGCGAGATAAAGAGTTTATAAAATGGAGAAAAGTTAGCCCGGCTGTAAGGGTGACCCCACCATCGGAAAAGCGAGACCCAGCGAGGCAAGTCTGCCTTATAAATATGACTTGGGTGACACAATAAGAGTTGACAATGAAGTAAACGTGAACCCTCTTGTTGATTATCATTAGCAGAGACGGATAAGAGAGGCGAGGAAGGTAAGAGTATCCGACGAGCCAGAAAGGGGCGTCCATATACGCCTGAGAACAAACTTGGGAACCAGGTCAAGGAAATTCAGAAATGGAGCTCAGTTCCAGGTAAGACGCAACATTACGTTTCCAGGTTTTATTAGAACTTTAAGTCAATTTAAGGCTTGCTCCGTGATAATACGAGGATATCATTAATTTATGTTCTGTTCGGTTTCTGCTGTTCGTAAGATGGATTTGAGACAAGGTTTATGTTTGCTTTTCATGATATAGATTTGAACGGTTTTGTTTGTTTAAAACGCGATGGAGTGACAGCAATTTTTTTTGTTCGAAAACATGTTTAAAACTACTTCTCGATGGCATTAAGGTAAGCACAAGCGCAAGCACGAACAAGCACGAGTGCTCTTATTTCACCGTGAAAACAGCTCTCCGCATTCCCATTTATGCTACCGTGTGCGTTTGTGTTCACTAACACAAGAGTCCTGTGGTTAACTNATTGGGCAGAGTGTTCGTTTTTTTCACGCATGGCCGAAGCGTCACTCTACACACACTGAAGGGAGAAACTTTCAACTTCGCCAAATTATTTTTCTGTAGTATAGGGCGAGCAAGGCCGCATGGGTGAACATGCACCTTTTTTTAAAAGGCAACTGAATTAGCCCTTGGTTGCACTTGACGTTTTTGGCCTCTCTCGTTATAGCTTGAGTAACAGGCGTTTCTGAGTGAGAAGGGGGAAGAGAGAAGCGAACAAGAGGAGAGCTAAAATCTCCTCTCCGGTAGCCCATAAGGATGGCCTGATACTCAGGCTACCCTCGTTATAGGTTTAAAAGTAGAATGGTAATATCAAATCATTATATTTTTCTGTTTCATTAGTCAAGTGCTTCGTTAAAGCAAATACAAAAATATATTTCCAAAAGAACATTGCATAGAAAATCAAAAACAGATTTGATGAGCGCTTTTAATATCATTAAGAATAATAACTGATTAGAGTCAGGTGTTAATATAGCAGTGTGATTTTTTTTTTTAATTATCAACTGTATATATTGAGTGGTTACCATTAGTCGAAGTCACACCATCCCATAATGATTGAGCGGCTATACAATAGTTAAGATAAAAGCTTCAACAAATGATTTTTTTGTTAGTATTATCAATTGTTCCTTATTTTTCCCCTCTTTTGTATGGCCGCTGGCTAAGTAGATTTTTTTGAGAACCTTTAATGTGATCCTCAGTCGAAATGCAAATAGAATTTTTCTCTTTCTTATCAAAAATGTTGTTGTCGTAATTATTTGCTGGTGTCTTTTCAATCTTATTTTCCATCTTTAACCTTTTCTATCTAGGGGTGCCTACCTTTTACAAAAAAACAAAAAACTTTTCAA